ATTCGAAGCATTTCGGATCAACCTCAATTCGCAGCAATTTCAAAATAATAGCTTATTTAATAAAATAATAATCCAGATAACACGATACGATTGCGCGACCCAATGGAACAAAAAATAATTTTTGTGTGTTCAGTGCATCCATTGAACGTATTTTTTCACTAACCTTATTCATTCTTTAGTTCAATAACATCATTAAATCATTTTTATCTTGTAGTTATTCCAATTTTAACAAAAATAAATTGATGTGTATGACACAAAAATTTTTTTTTTTTTACATTTTATTTAAGTTCAACATTGAAACGAAAATGATTTTCGATGCGAACATTATCCATTGTGCGGACACCTTCATAGGTCTCTCATGCTCCTGTCACACAATTCAAAGTATTTAACTTTTGATAGGATTGGATTTTCATATTTATCCCGGGGGAGAAGGGAAGTCGATAAGACGGCTTAACCATATGGCACACCACGGACTCTCGTCCGGTTACCAGTTCAGTCGGGAATGAAGTTATCCAGTTGTTTGTTTCAGATGCATGGACTTGATGGTGGAGGAAGCCGTAACCATCTACAGTGTAGGGGTGGGCAACATACGGCCCGCGGGCCGGATCCGGCCTGCGACGAGATTTTGACCGGCCCGCTGACTGTATCCAACCACACTTTGTAATGTGGTCCGACGCATCATTTATGAAAGTTGCCGATCGCTCTACTCTCACCGCACTGTCAGTGCAGGTTGGTAAAATAAACAATTGCCTTAGTGAACAAAATAATTGCGTTATCACACTTGTTAAACAAACAATATCAGGTCGAAGCAGAAAGCGTTGTAAACAGTCCATAAACATAATCCATATCGACATAAACAGATTTATTATTTTGTCAACCAAAAACAAACAGTCATCAATACGAAAAAAATACATAACACGAATAAAATTGCTTTGGTATTGACAGGAGGGAGCGATACGACCATGAGGTCAACTCCCACCCTATTTTCTGAAGTGATTAAGTTTCTCACTGAAGATGACTATCAGAAAAGTTGGCCTGTCAAATAATATTTTTAAAAATTCGATGTAATCTCAGAAAACTATTGGGGGAGGTTTTATTGAGAACTCATTTACACAATAAAAGTTCTATATGCTTTAGATCAGTGGTTCCCAACCGTCGGTCCGTGGACCGGTGCCGGTTCGCGAGGCTTTTTTGCCGGTCCACGGGAAATTTCATTTTGTTGTTTTTCTACCGTCTCAATTGCTTTACCGAAGCCAAGCCGAAAAGACGAAGTTAGGTTGGTTTAGTACGCAATTTCTCTTCCGCCGTCATATTAGTGTTTGATAAGTGCGGTATTAATGGCCCGGCGACGTCTTGGCGCTGAGTAATCACACCTTTTGCTCTTTCGGTTCCGATTAATCGCGAAAGCGCTCCGTCAAATCTCGCTAGATTCAAAAACCGGGAAGTCAGCATGCGTGCTTTTTTTCGCTCTGCATGCTTTACTTGATTAATCCAAATAAAAGGTTATGAATATTTTTTCTTTGTTTAAACCAGAACGTATCAAGATAGACAGTATAATATTCCAGGGCATCACCATGAACATTTAATAAAGATTGGATGTCGGAGTATTTTTTGTAATCATCGGGCCCGCCGAGTCCTTCATTTTCCCACATCTGGCCCGCCGACTAAAGAAGTTGCCCACCTCTGGTCTAGACTCTACGTGAACCACCCTACGGCGGCGAGGAGTCTAGCAATCCTCTCGCACATAACCATCTCCGCATGGGATTCAAACCTGCGAACCCACACAGAGTAATCAGAGGTTCGGTGGCAAGCGTATTCCTAACGCCTAGCACGATGAGCCACACCGCAGCGCTCGAAATTAAAAACCCTCTGAAGTATTTCCTTCATTATCGTTCTATATAGCCAGTAATTGGATACCGGTACAAATGTTTTTTTTTTAATTTGAACAAAACTCAATATTCCTCTGCACGATGAGCCACACCGCAGCGCTCGAAATTAAAAACCCTTTGAAGTATTTCCTTCATTATCGTTCTATATAGCCAGTAATTGGATACCGGTACCGGTACAAAAGATGTTTTTTTAAATTTGAACAAAACTCAATACTCCTCTGCACGATGAGCCACACCGCAGCGCTCGAAATTAAAAACCCTTTGAAGTATTTCCTTCATTATCGTTCTATATAGCCAGTAATTGGATACCGATACAAAAGATGTTTTTTTTAATTTGAACAAAACTCAATAATCCTCTGGCATCTTCGAATTCACTGGTTGACTATTCCTACACCCCCAAGTGGCAGGAGGGCGCGATTCGCCATATGACAAATGAAATTTCTAAATCAATAGGAACGTTCAAGTAACACGTGTACGGTACCTTCACAATTATTCTATATCTATAGCCAGTCAAAATGATACAGAAGAATTTTTTTTTTAATTTGAACTCCGAGGCCTCTCTGTCAAATTATATTTTTCATGAAACATACAATGGAAATAGAAATTAAAAACAAAATGAAGGGATATCAATAGCCTATGTATATATATGATAAAACCGCACTCCTACCAGATGATTGTCATGAAATAGGGGTGCAATCACATTTTAGTCCCCCGATCGGGGGCCAATCCACATTAACCATATGTTAATTGAACCAGTATCCATCTAGCAAAAGCCCTAAATTGGGGGTGAAATTACACAAAGTTCCCCGATCGGGGTACAATTTAGATGTATTTGAACAACCCCCAAATTCGCAAAAATGATTGAAGTAGGTTATAATACGGGATTTTGTAATAAACCTTTTCAATATTAGTCTCCACCGAGCACTCTCTTTTAATTTAGATACAGTGCCCAATTAAGAATTCACTATAAAATATCCCTCAATCAAGGGAGTATATGCCTCAGATCAAGGGATTTATCTGTCTATTTCAACAGTTATTACCAGATAAGGCAAATTTCCTATATTTTGTAAAAATTATCAGTTAACCACAAGAAAACAGACACATTAATGGTCCAATTCACCAAAAGATATTACTAAGGCTTTCTCGACTATTCAAACTCAGACAATCATTATTTTGATTATGTCGCTACAGTTGTCAGAAAACAGCATTTATCAAATTCTATAATAAAAAAAATTGTGCCATTTCACTTTTTTCAAAATTATTTGATGAATATTTGGTTAGTTCTGGACACCCAAGATTCAAACAGCATCAACAAAAAATAAGGCTTGATATCATATAAGCAGGGACGTAGCCAAGATTTTTTATTTAAAAAAATGGTTTTGAAATTTTTAATCGCAAAGTTGAACCATAAAAGCTAGCAGGTATTGTTAAATTTCAAAAGAGGAGGAGGGGGGGGGGGTACCCCCCTGGCTATAGGCACGTACACACTCAAAACACTTGCGACAAAAAAAAATCAGTTTGCCTAGAAGATTAAGTTCTTTATATCAGCAGCAGTTAACAGTTATTGTTCTTTAGATACACCGAAATCGCTGAAAATATTTTCAAAGTTGCGCCACTGTAACACTCAGATAAACAAAATTGTCAAACAAACATCAAACTCATCTATCTCTTCTATGTATAACTTTTACAGATCCGAATATATGGTTCTGTGAATAATGAATATATTCTACCATGTAAGCCACAGTATTATGTGAACAATCATTACGTGCGTTTAGGATTCAGCTGCATTTAAGTTCGATCTAGATCAGCAGTTCTCAATAAAAAATACTTTCGCCTTACTATCTGTTATTTGTAGCTTATTCTTGACTAGTTATTTTTCAGATGAGGTGTGAGACTTCACAAATTCTAAAAAGGGGGCGGAGCTTGAAAAGTTTGAGAATCACTGATCCAAGTATTCTAGAAAAGTAAATTATTTCGATAAATTTTCTGTAGCATTGTGGTGAGGCTTTCGTATCCCTTCACAAGGAAAATTAAATAAAAAAGAACAAAAAATATTAAAAATAATGCCATAGCAGACAATAAAAAGGTGCTCCCGAAGTATGCGAACCAAGATGGCAGACATCAGAACGTAACATGGGTAACAGGTTAGGCGATAATTTTTTTCCAATTTTACTTATTTTAGTCCTATTATCAGTTCGAAGACTAGCCAAGAGCCTCCCGTAGTACTTATACCTAAAATTATGGCCTAACCCTAACCTAGTACACATATTACATTCCGATGTCCGCCATCTTGGTTCGCATACTTCGGGAGCCCCAATAAAAATCTACAACCATATTTTGACAGATATTGGGTTACATGCATCTGTTCCTAATGGCCAGATTAATTTTATTTTTTGACCATTCAACAGACTCCCATTGAAATGGCAGTTAAATCCAGGGATATCGAAATCGAATCGATATCGCATACATTCGAATTTCATTATATTCGATATAGTAAATTTCTGAATTTAGAAATAATTTAGAACATTTTTATTTAAAAATAAAGGATTTTGAGCCGTCAGAAAAGTATATCAAAATGTACGATATTTCAATTGGTAGCAAGCAACACAGAAAAACAGCGACGTTTTATATTTGTGTCATTTTAGATGTAATTAACCATTATGAAGATATACTAATTTATGTAATTTTCACGCTCCATAAGTATGTGTATCTATATGGAGGTAACTAATTTTGTTCGCCTATTTTACATCAAGTTGTGTTAAGGGACTGAAACCTAAGGGCAGGGGGTATATTCACTTGGCAAACACAGTCCCCGAAATCGTAATAGAACTAAAATAAGGAAAATTATATACTACAGGATATCCTAACTTTGCATATAAACTCTCCCCAATTTAGAATGTATTTGATATTTCCTATTCGAAAATCTTTTCTCATAACGTATTCAAAATAGTAAAATATTCGGTTTTGGCCATTCCTCGCTTAGATCAACAACTCACAAAATATTATGTTTTGCCGAATATTTGAACGCTGCGGAACCTCCATGTGGGCGGGCAATGTTCACTTGTACCCTGAATGTTATACCCCATTTTCGAAGGGCAAAACCTATTTTTTCTTTGATCAAGCAATTAATCCACTGTTGTTTGAAATTGCAAATGCCAGTGAGAATATAAACTACCAAAAAACCTAACCAGATTTGTTGTAAATAGGATAGTAAAAAATAGGGTACTCCTGAAGTATGCACACCAAGATGTCGCACAACCTGAACCCTAACCTAGTACACTACCTGAGTTCAGGTTGTGCGCCATCTTGGTGAGCATACTTGAGGGGGTCCAAAAATAGTATTAGTATTCTAAATTCAATTTGAATATACTAAAACAGGGATGCACAACCTTCAATACCGGAGGGCCAGACACAAATAACTGGGTGAAACACCTTTATTTGAAAAAAGGCTCTCTAGTAGTTGTGGCCTCAAAAAAAGCATCACATGTACCAGATTGAACTAAATTAAAATAGCGCACGCGGGTCCTGTTTCGGTAACCACTGCAATAAACAAATTTGTTTAAAATCTGATGCTCATAAATACTATCACACAGTTTCTGATAAATGATTTTATGAGTTTCAAATATAACTGTGATTTGAACTTTGATTCCTAGAACATTTCCTATCAGTCATTGTGACATCATTTGACCTTTAATATCTCAATTCCAGGAATACTTCCTGTAAGTCAATTGTTGTGTCATTTGATTCATATTATTACAGTTCAAAGAATCTATCAATGTCTCCATGACCGTATTTCACTCTCGTAATCTTCCTCCCCAAGTTCTTCCCCCTCCTCGTCGAAATCCGCAGCGAGGAGAGCATCCTCGTCTAATTCGTCGATGTATCCATCTTCTTCTAAATCATCGTCTCCCTCAGGTTCTATCTCGGTCACCAGTGGGTAGTTAACCGTCACATCGCCAATATGGACTTGGACATTGTCACTGATGAAATAGAAAAAAAAGAATTTATGAGAGAACTGACTCAAAGTAAGGTCCAACCTCGCTCAAAAGAAAAGAAGCCGGACATGTGTTATGAGCAACCACTATAATGTCAAGAACTACTGAAGCTAGATATAGCAGTGGTAGCCAACCTTTTATGGCTTGTGGGTACCTCTTGGGACTGGGAGGATTTTAGCGCTCATGCCCCCTTTTTACCATTCCTGTGGTATTTATAGTGTTATTTTGATTGGTAGATTCCAATTCCCATTAAATGGTTGTTACGTAGTGTTTACATGCAGTCGTCTGTCCGATATTATTTGTGCAAAAATTGGTGGGATTTTGCGGTATTTAATACAGCGTGTTAAAAAAGTAATGCAAAATCTAATCTTAAAGTTTAAATATGGAATTAAATATAGAACACCCGAGTGCGTTATCTAAATTTAAAAAAAATGCACAGATAGCTATATTGGGCTGAATTGAGCAGTAGTAGTAGGGAAGTAAGTTAGGTTTACCCACAAATGTATATATACCGTATTCCCCGGCGAATAAGGCCTATTTTCAAGCCTGAAAAAATGGGTTTTTGCATATAACCTGCCAATAAGACGGGTAGTAAAATCGCATCAACATCAGAATCTCAAATTACCCTGCAATGCCTTTTGAGCGGTCGCCCCGTTTGCACATTGAGTAAAATAGCATATAATGACAATTTCTTGTAGCATAATATTCAATCCATAATAACTACGGGAATTCAAACTGTCTTTAAATTTTAATCTAATTGTGTTCAACTCGCGATTCAACTTGTTCAAAGTAAGGTCTGAGTTTTTTTGAGTTTAAACTCTGCTTATATACGAGGATATACGCTGGTATTATTTCACATTTATAATGTTCTCGTGCATATAATACCATCTATCCTTTATAATTTTTAGCATTTAATTTCCAACATTAGTTTATAAGTTTTATTAGAATTGAAAGCTCAAAAATTATGATTCAAAATCGAAACTCAGATATCATGATCATGGTTTTGAAACCCGCGAAACACATTTGGGCCTGATATGGACAAACTACGGCCCGAGGGCCAAATCCAGCCCGTTGGGTAATTCGATCTGGCCTGCCTGATGCTGCCACAACCAAATTTTGATGTTTTAGCTGAAAAATAACTCAAGGAATTTGTTAAGATTGCGATTGATTTTAGTTTCGACACGAGGCTTATTGTTTCCCACCTTTGTTTTTGTTACACTGTAAATATGGTTCGTAAAATGTAACTTTTTACGTCACACTTAAATGGCCCGCCAGTCTGGGAGGGCAAAATGTTTGGCCCTTAGCCGATGCAATTATAAAAAACATTTAGAATAAAAAGCTTAACTAACGTTTCGTCATCTTCCTCATCTTTTTCTTCATTTGGGGGAACCACCAATATTTCATCGTCCTCGACTGGGGGTTCCCCTGGTGAATCTACCACATTCGTCACTTGGGTTGGAACAGGTTGTGGAGCAGGCATCGAACCAGAATTCCATACAACAATCAGACGTCGGTTTTTAAAAATAGGTCCATGCTGAGACGCCATCTCAGCCTGAGCACGAGAGCTGAACTTAACAGTGCATGTGATACCATCCTCGTCAAAAACAAAATTTTCGATTTCTCCGAATCTCTGTAAAATGAATAACAAAAGATTGATAAATTGGAATAAAATTAAAGACATTGCCAGCTAGCGGATCTGGCCGGAGTTATGAGGGTCTAAAAATCATTTCAAGCTACAAAAAACTGCTATGTATGACACGAAAAAATGATTTTTTTTTACATTCCAAAAGAGGGGGGTGGGGGTTCTGACTTTTGACCCCTTCGCCTCTGGCTACGCCCAGCCAGTTGCCAACATAGTTGTCTAACGTTTCAAGCGTTGAGCCATTATAGCTAAGAACTTAGTAAGTGGATCAAAACAATCTCAGACTTCCACTTCAGCAATTTTGCGTAGTGAAACCATTCAAGAAAACTTGTTTAGACCAGTTTCTAGGCTTTTATTAACTCAATCATTACCGCTATACTAGAATAGAAGAAAAATAGAACAAGTTACAAGATGTAGCAATCTTGACGCACGCTAATCAAATAAAACCCTCGCTTTGTCGCGTGACTATTAACGTCTTCAGATTGCTCGGCGATGGTGCCACATTAGGTGGCGCTAATTCAATTCCATTACAATTTGTAAATGCAAAAAACACTAGGCTTCCCACACCCACACATCTTGATTTTAGCCACCCCTGCCATCAAAAAATTGAAAAAAAAACATTACAATCACATAAATGCCAACTCACCGCTAAATGAGAAACTAATTCATCTTTTTCGTCGTCATGGAAACCAGTTATTCTCAGTTCCCTTGGTCGTCTATCCAGGTTCGCAGATGCACTAAAAACTCTTGGAGCTTTCGCTCGGTGCATATACGCGCCTCTACCACGCCCTCTTTGTGCAGGTTGATAGCCTTTGTACGCATTTACCAAACCTAAAGATGACGCTTCCATTTTTAATTGATTCAATTTTTGTTTTAGATTCACTGTGTTTTCTCCTGTAGACGAAGCGTTGTATAAATCCAATTCAGCGTCAAGGAGTTCTTTTTGTGTTAGTTTTTGCTTTTCTTTTACCTCCGTTTGCGGAGTTCGAATGTTCTCTCCCTTTAAAGATGTCCTCAGCTTATCAATAGATGCAGTGAGTGTTTTCAATGATTCCAGAAGCTTTAATTTTTCTCCCGGTGGCATGTTTTTCGACTCTTTAATTTTGTTTAAAAACAGTTTTTGCTGCTGCATTTGGGCCTGTAAAAGCTCGCGTTTTTGTTTTTGTAGTTCGATCTTTTTCAGCATGACGAGTTTTTGACGAGCTAGAAGTTTTTCTTTTGTCGCTTGCTGTGCTTGTTGTACTCTGGCTCGAGTTGCTGAGTTATCTTTTGGAGTTTCAGGGACACTAGAGGCAGTATCGGGGACTGATGGCGAGGCAGAACTCTGAGCATCTGGGTTGGAAATGGTCCGAAAAATTGTCCCTTCTGCAACTACAGATTCATTTGCAGCTACTTTCTGATCTTTTACCGGAGCGGTGTATTTGAGTTGACTCGGGTTGGGTAAGATTCCAAGACGCTCTTTCACCGAAGGGCGCTGTTGAGTTTGGTTCGATGGACCACGACCGTTACTAGCTTGAGGGTTAAACCAATGGACCATAATAAAACGGTTATTCATTACTGCGCCGGTATCTCGTTTTGCTGCTCGTGCACTGTTCACATTTGCGTATTCCACTAGGGCGCACTGTGGATCATTTTCAAAGCGAACCTGAATGTTATTTATCGCCCCAAACTGTGAAAAATGTTCATTTAATTTGGTAATATTGTTTAACAATGGGGGTATTTTACGTATTATCAATTTTGTATTGTTATTGAAATTGTTCACGACCCCTGTGTTTTGAACACCGGGTGGTGCATTATTGTATATTGTTCTTTTAACAAAACCACCGTCGTTGGGAGGGGGATTCCCCATTCTGACAATGTTGGGAGGTAAATTATTCTCTATTCCGGGTATACGTGGTGGGGCTATATTAGAAATCATACTAGGCCGATATGTCATTGCTGGGGCCTCTGGGTTGTATCCTGGAGGGGGTTGCGATCTCGGAGGTGGGGGAGGTAATCCGGGTGGTGGGATTCTTATACCTCCCCCTGGTGGTGGAGGAGGCATTGGTGGCGGAATGGGGGGTCTTAGGCCTGGTGGGGGAACAGGAAACCCTGGCGGTGGTGGGGGCAAAAATGGAGGCATCATTGGGGGTGGCACATTTGGTTTTATCGGCGGGGCAGGAGGAGGACCGACAAGTGGAGGTGGAGCTGTGATTGGGGTAATTTTCGGTCGGCCAGTTGAGGATATCGCCGAGTCATCAACTACCACAGGGTTTGCACCATGGTCGTAAGGACAGTTGTCGGCCAAAATACAGAATCCTTTTTGTTCAAAATCCCAGCATCGTTTTTTCTTTACAATTCGATCGTTGCTCGAAGTCAGACGTTGACGAGAAGAGTCTGGCGATCTTGAAGATGATCTAGAACGACTTGATGACAATGACCTTGTCCTACGACCTCTACGATACGGTGACCTTGATCGTGACCTCCGAATTGGTGAACGCCGCTTCGGTGAAAAACGAATCTTTTTTGGAGATCCAGAGTGACTACGATAACGTCGACGTCTCTCTCGTGGTGACCGTGAGCGTTTAAAACGTCTGCGACGATCATACGGACTTCGTGAGCGATGTCGAATCGGAGATGGTCGTTGTAATCTTCGTTTCGTTGCCTTTTTTGGTTCTTTGATATCACCCAATCCAGGAATTTCTTGAGTTTCCGTTGTGCTCGGCGGCGTAGTCTCTTCTTTTTCATTTTCGACATAACTTTTACTTTCCAAAGTTTCAAATAAATCCGACACAAAAGCATTTGTCTCAGTTTGTAAGAAGACTTCGAGCTGATCTTCGCATAATTTTCGAAGCTCTTCTTCGGTCTTATCTTTTTTGATCAACGCTATAACGTATTTTGCGAGAGCGCTTGGGTCCGCGTCGCACATTGGTGTTAGTCGCTTCACAAGCCATATTCTCAACGAGTCTAGCTTTTCAATTATCACCATTTTAGATTGAAATAATCAGAATTTTGTATTAAACTATATTTCTGTGGAAAAAATAGAATTACAAATCATCATATCCATCTTAGATATTTTGAATAGCAAAAACGGTAACTTTTTCAAACATAATTGTATCTGTGTATAAAAGCACTACCTACTGACAGCGAGTGACTGCCGTACTGTAAGACAAAAAATTACTGGTACTATTTTTGGAAGAGACAGATCCAGAATTATATGGTTGATCACAAAACTGAAAGATACCGGTATTTATTGAGATAGAGTGGATGGGTTTACTGGTTTAAGATTACGGACTGCGGATACCATACTGTCAGAAGCTGATAAGCAAGCCATAATAAATTCAATAGTTTTCAAACGACAAAAACTGCAAACTTGTGGCCGCAGGCACTGAATCACGGATACCATACAGTTATGCCCGGCTGCTGAACTGTGTCTCAAGCTCTGGAAGCTGGTTCACCGGTAACGTTTCGCAACTCGACACGGGTGTCATCCAAATAATCCAATATAACAGGAAATGGAAACTACAGTAACTGCAAAATTTAACAAACTCAAAATTCACACACCGGTACCGCTACCGAAACCTAAAGCGAAAATCCTACACCATTCAGTAGATACGGTACCGGTACCGTAATATGGAAAAACGCAGACGGAAGGAAACTCAACAAGAATGTACAGCGAACAGCATCGCGCACAACACGACGTCCGTGCAGAATCGGTGCTACTAAATACCGGCCAAGCCCAGTTATTGATCGAAATATTAGAGAGAGAGAGATTTATTACTTGTCAACCAGAAAACAAACGAAAAAATACATACAATATAAACAAAGTTGATTCGGTATAGACTGGAGGGAGCGATACGACCATAAGGTCATCAGAGTCAGCTTCATCCAAGTTCACTATTAAGATTCACAGTTAAACGTATGTGAATAAGGAATAAAAAAACGCATTGGAGAGTTGCATAGATCTCTTACAGAATATTTTTGGGATTTGGCTATAAGATGGTTAAAGTAATGGATCCTATTTGGTATTTTCAGGTTTTAGGTCTGGGGTCCGACTACTAGTAAGTTCATTTCATAACTTTTTTTTGTTTTGCATGCAATGTAGGAGGCTATCTAATAAATACTAGCATTGTTAACTCAAAATCCTATATATTGAGCTGGTTGGATATTGTTTGTCACATCGAAAATTTCTACTGAAAGATAACAGCCAGAACATACCAGTGGATAACTGCCGAGGCTGGAAACAAGCGATAATTGAAGCAAATATAACGGTTAATACATATATAATTAGAGGAAGATCGAGGACCTGGTAAATTCAAACAACAATTCCGATGAGCTTTCGAGTATTCAGTTTGATTTGTAAAGCCCGACCGTAAACTTGTCCACGTGAATGAGTATTTTTGACGTTACACAAGTAAAATTAGATTTCAAAGTTTTCCCTAACCGTGATATGAATGTGAAAGTCAAGTTTAGTGTACTTTCTACAAAAGGCGGCGAGAATTTTTGCAAAATAAGGAACGCCCAAACTTATTTGCAATAATTTGTATTTTGAAACGCTTCGATAGTTTTGAAAGTCAGATATGATTATTTAGATGTAATATACCGTGTTTCACCGAAAAAAATACCTACCCTAAATATAAGCCATATCCTGAATTTTGAAAATGGTTTCAATATGAGCCGTACTCTTAAAATAAGACCTAGTCGAAAGCGCGAATTTTTTTTTGACTTAGTCGATAGCAAGGAATTTCTCCTACACGTTTTAGATGATTGGTGATTTATGTGTTTGCAGGAATTTTGAATAAAAACGTGTTATTTATAAGTAAATGGATATCAGTTTCCATATATTGTATATTTGAAAATCTCGTAATTCCTACTTTGTAACTTTGTTTTTGATAAATGAAAACACAAGACATCTCCCCAAAATAAGCCCTAGTGTTATTTTTCGGAAGAAAATTGAAATAGGATCTAGTACTATTTTCAAAAAAACGCGATAGTGCCAATGTTTCATGGTGATTGAATCTGTAATATTTTCTATACCGAGTCAGGTTCTGTGAATGTGATCACTACTGTACTAGATCGATCACAGTGTCGTATATTGTTTAATTTCACACACGCCCTCTGCCAGTAATTCCCCCCTCTAATTTTGAGGTGGGACTCCACACTGTAATTCTCCACTCCACACTGTAGCAAAATATTTACCACTCCCTAAAGCCCCCCTCCTAAAATGAATAGCTGGGGAACATACGCCCTCTGCACTTCAAAATACACCTGACATAATGTGTCGAATCGTAAAAAAAATTATATGCCGAGTGCCGACTCATTTTTGTCTTATTCAATTTTATATTAGTACAATTCATTCGACAAAACTCGCTAGTTTGCGGCGGGTACGTTGATGTACTCCACTGTTTTATTTAGCAATCGGTCGCAAACTGTTGGTCTAGTTTTTCCGGGTTTTAGTTTATTGATAAGAAGCCTTCTTCGAGATTAACATAAGCGAGGTAAATCTCGCTTTCGTTTACCATGGGAGTTTTATTTGCGGCGGAACGAGGGAGTGTTTTTGATTTATGCAAATTTCGGTGTTTTTTGGGTGGTAATAGAAGACATATTATCCCTTCCATCTACCAAAGTATTTTGAGTTAGATAACGAAATTGCTACAGTAATATTATGCTATTGTTTGCCAACCAAGAAGCGGTAACAGTAAAGGATTTAGCGAATATTTCTATTTTTTATCACGGCTTGAAGTTTCAACACCCAAGAAAAAAAATGTCTTTTTTCTATCCTGTTTGTGACTCAGACCACCCCTTCTGAAAAAAAAAAAAATTTTTCAATCGCCAATTGCAAGCTCTTTAAATAAGCTTTCCAACGAGCCGTCAGTGGGCAGCAGAGGATCATTACTTTTTCGTTAGTCGATCGATTAGTTGTGGGGGTACAAATGCATAAAGTCGGCGAAGCAAATACGATTATTTAATAAAAAATAAAAATCGCATGGAAAGGGTTAAGTATGTTCACATTGTAAAAAAATGGTAGAAGCCTCGATAATCTGCAAAGCTCTTGCATACTGATCTACGCAATTCAATTTTTAAATTGTTCCCTGCACAGTATTTCTATAAAAACCTGCAATATTGTATTTTTTAACATTTTTTGCGTAAATAAATTTCTTTCTCAAACGAGTTTATTTTTGTTGCGTTGCGTATGTCTAGTGTTTTTATTACAGTACTTTTGTTTATTTAACGTCCGTTGTGATGTCCGTTACTACTAGCCTACTTTAACGTTACATCCAACTAAAAGCACGTGTTTCGTAAAATTGACGATTCGTTTTTTAAAGTTATGTAATGAATTAATTCATTGACGGACATGTTCGCACTTGGTTGGCGGAAGAAGCTCATATGCAGTGTCATAGAGAGTCCACGCCTACGGTTTATCTCTTGACGTGAGGCGTCAACATTGTTGATTAGCCGATGTCGATAAAATTGCAGAACTCCTCGTTGTCGCAGGGTAGTTTACGTGGCCTTGGTTGACTGAACAACCTGTACATGAAACACTGATTTGATTACATTATGTTCATATTCTGAGCAAACGTTGGGGCGTAAAACCAGCTGAGGGTTGGCACATCGTGCTAAGCATTAGGAATAAGCTTTCCAACTCAACTCTTATCCTGCGTGAGTTTGCATGTTTGAAACTCGTGCGACATATTACACGAGGACTCCTCTCGTTGCAAGGTGATTCGCGTAACTGATGGCTGATTACGACTTTCTTCGGCATTAAAAAAATTCACCAGTAATAAGAGAAAGAGAGAGAGGTTTATTTTTCGTCAACCAGAAAAATAATGAAATAGCAACAATGAAAATATATACAATAACACATGTAAAGTTTTTTGGTATAGACTGGAAGGAGCGATACCGGTACCACCATACGGTCATCAGAGTCAGCTCTCCCCATATACCCTATTTTAATTATGTATATAAAAAATTATCAACTATTTTTATACCCTACAGCCTACATTGCCTGGTAACCAGAAAAGAGGGCGTGTTTTGTCAAATGATACAACCGTCTTATCAACTATCTCCTCATATCAAAATCCTATCGTCGCCTTCATTTAACATTTTGGGGCTCCCGAAGTATGCGAACCAAGATGGCGGACATCGGAATGTAATATGTGTACTAGGTTAGGGTTAGGTCATAATTTTAGGTATAAATACTACGGGAGGCTCTTGACTAGTCTTCGAACTGATAAGAGGACTAAAATAAGGAAAATTGGAAAAAAATTCTCGCCTATCCCTAACCTGTTACCCATGTTACGTTCCGATGTCCGCCATCTTTGTTCGCATACTTCGGGAGCACCAACTTTTTTTTTGTGGAAATAAAATCTCTCTCTTTCTCTTTCCAGTCTTTCATCCCGCAAGAAAACATAACCGCAGGTGGGCACTCAAGAGCGATAAGGAGTCATGACGTCACATATGCGACCCAATGATATTCTTGGCTGGAAATACGAAAAGGTAGATTTTGCAAAGTTTGAAAGTTGCTAATTATATTCGACGTCGGGGTTCTGGTCTATTTATTCGTCTTTGTAGTTTACTTACTTTGGAAAGGATTGTATTTTTTCATGCATCAATGTGCTTACAAGGCGGTTATATCGACTGTCGTTCGTTGCATGTATGCTTAGGTCCGTACCGGTACGTATGGTACGGTACAAATGCTGAAATGGGATTGTATAAATACAGAAACCCGTGCGTGTAAAAATACGTGTTCGGGAATGATTTAGTTATGTGTCTGTTAATGAGGAGTTTTATATCCAGATATTAGTATATATTTTAGTTACCATAACCATTTAACTGTATACAGGTATAAGTTTTTTACTGATATAAAACAATAATTTTTGTTTTGAATTTATACCAATTCTCGAATTCTGACATTATAAACCTTATTTTAGGTTTTCAGATCGTCTTCCTCAGTCAAACTGGTCTTAGTAAAATCTGTTTTGTCATCCCCTCTCACCCCGAAATGTGATTTTTCATATATTTTTTA